CATTTGTAATGTTCATACAATTCTAAATACTACAACTGCCCTTTAGTGAGTGTCTTTGTGGATTTTTGGGATTACTAGTACTGAACCATGGCAAAAATGTGATCGTTAAGTTAATACCACATCGTTCCTATGGCACCCCCGAATGTAATTTGGCTCAAAGCCAAAGCCTACGGGCCAAGAAATGTTTCATCACCGAATGAGGGTAATCGCGATGGCTTTAGTCGCCAGAGATCACAGATGAGGGAGTCTGGGGAGATTCAGTTGTAAGGAGGTGATAGCTAGGAGTGATGATGCTGAGAATGAGATAGATTGGGCCCCCTTCAAAGCCGAACCCCATCCATTCACTTGTACTTCTGTTGGCCAGAAATTCCAGCTGACAGAAAGATGAAAGACATGTACCAAAGTGTGTTTTACTTGTTTGTACTCGTTGAAACGCTTCATTCCAAAACAAAAGACGTCATTGAAAAGGAGCATGTCATCACTAAGATTGAGCTGTAAGTGTAAGTTCATCGGGCAGCCCAATCCCGAATCCAAGACCATGAAAACCTAGGGTCCCATCATTCCTGGTGATTTTTGCTTTCAAACAAATCAAACTGAAGGCTGAGGAAGTTATTTGGACGTTGACAAATGAGATTGTCGGTAGGCGTTTCCGGCAGGTTATTGAGCTTTGTTAAGAGACCAGAAGCGATTTTTTTGCTCACCGCCAGATTGGTGACACGATGATGGCGGCAGTGAAGTAAGCTAACTCGTCCAGCTCAATGACGTGAGATAAATGGTCCGAGAAAAAAAGATAGGTTGAAAAACACGTCTGAGCCTGCTCTCTAGCCAGTCAATGAAGCGGAAAAGCATAAACACAAAGAAAATTCATAACTGGTAGGTATACTGGTAAGGCGTATCATGATTTTAGATCAAGTTATCGTGATACTGCAAAATCGAGCAGACAAATGGAATAAGATGCCGAAATACTAACAAACTAGTAATGAATTTAAAAATGTAGGCATCAGGTTCACAACAAACAAAGGATAATAATAAAATTTATTAAATTATTCTATTTAATATATGGTACAATGAGTCGTAAGAGTTCCATGGAAAATTCCGACCCAAACGGCAAGTCAACCTGAACAAATGTACGTGCAGAGTATGGCGAAACTACTGAGATAGCACCAAAAATAAATCATGGCTACTGCAGTAACTAAGCAGTAGATTAGTGCCAGAGGCAAAGTATAACTTGTAAAGATTATGTGTACGGAAAGAAATGAGACGTCAGAAGTAATCTGCCTACCGACTGGTCGATCCAATATCCAAATAAACTAAGTAATCGTTTTCGTAATGATGTCATCACCTAAAAGGATGGCATGTTCTAGAAAGGTTTTTACAAGTAACCAGTAAATTTTGCACTATGAAGATGCCTGAAGATGTCGCAATTGTGAACATAGACAATCAATTCAATGGCCCTAATATGTAGAAGAATAAAAGTAGCCTGAGATAACTGGTAAAAAGGTTCGAACTGATTAAATGTCAGACGAAGGGCCGTTTAGGAGGGTTGTCTAGTATGCCTGGTATGCCCTTCTAATAAGGGATGCCTGTGAAGGATATGCTGGGTTCAATGTAATTTAGAAGGCCGTCAAAAGGTTTTCACTGCCCCCAAACTGTGGTACTTTATGGCTCTTCTGCTTCGGAAACCGGACTAATTGATGAGAACGTTGAAGCACTAGCCAACCCCTGAGGCCATGAAAAAGCACCACTTGCACTGCAATAGCAAAAGGAAAATGGACCCGGATAGAGGGCCCAGAATATGCACTGGGAAGTTGAAGAGTCGCAGAATACTGATGAGATGAGTAATACTCCATTGAACTGGGACCTTTATCTTGGAGCTTACTATAGTGGGAACATGGGATTCATGGGGCGGGAAATTCGAAACCACGGGGCACATCCCCTCATCCTCCCTTTCTCACCCCAATTGTCCCTAATCATTCACTACGAAAATTCAATCATACATCTTTCACAGAGCGTATATAAATGGATAAACAATATTTCTTACTGAAAAGTAGGTGGTTTGTAGTATAGCCTCTTTTACGTCGCTATAACATGACGCTAACATATCGTTGACTAAAATACGCCCATTAGGAGTGAGCGGTGAAAAGACGCCTTTCCTCGAAGTAATCGAAATATCCTGAAGTTTCTGCTGACGAAAACCATTCTGAAATTTCATTTACTTCAGTTGGGGACTTAACAGTATCAAAAGAAAACCCTTTAAATGGTACTATTATCAACAGTAATTAAGCTGGCCAGCCAGCCAGTGAACCACATACCAACCTCAGTAATACTCTTAGATGGAAAGCAGTAAATGTAATTTATGGTAGTGACTTGAACATGATACATTGACGGTGGCCTTTGATTCTCGCTCCCAAAAAATCTCAATTTCCAAGCTCTTCTGCAGTCAGCTTTACTTTTTTCCCGGTACTCGTAACAGCAGGTATTATTCTCAAATGATATCGACTTTTCCTTGTTCCTCAGTGGTGAAAATGCGATTCGATTAGGGTTATTACCAAAGCTCTCGCTCTCAAAACCGCTGTATTCAACTAAGAGAGAATGGCGCAGTGACAAGAGACTTCGTCACACGCACATGACCTTTAGATCGGATCCGCAAAAAAATCCACCTTCTCCCTGGAGCCCGCTATCAATCCGAGAGCTGGAATTCTTGTGAGTTATTGTGTAAGCCATTTAGGATGCCTCAACAATTGTGAAGGGCACCCTCTTATGTCTTACTAATGCTGAGTACTTTGCAGTAACGCTTTGACAGTTAGGACATAATGAAAAGGTTAGTGGCAAGTGGATTGGCTACTACGCGCGAAGGTTAGCGGCAGTGGCCAATTCTTTTCAACCTTCGCGCCCAGGCCTCAGGGTGTACGGTATTTCCACACTGGACCCATAAGCACTTCATAGGCCGTTTAACTGGTAAAACTCTGATTTCTCAGCTCCATTTCGGAGGCCATTGTGCCGGTATCCAAAATCTATCATTTCGAGCAAAAGCCATGTGCATGGCGCATAGCAATAAAGTACAGAGCCATGCATTGTTCCTTCACCTCATGTTTGTATTCAACCACTGATTTGTATTTTTAATCCATGATTATGTATATTTGCCAGGTAAACAAAAATGTCGCTGAAAAAAAGGTTTCAGTAGGCTTCAACAGAGTGTAATGGGCACCGAGGCAAGCCCTTCGAAACACGGGCAGCGGCCAATTCTTTTCCCACCGGAAGCCTTTGATGGAGACATATTTTTCTTTTTAATGGATACAGAGTTTTAAAAGGGATTACCAGTAATAGCCTGTCCCTGACTTAAAACTCTGGGACTTTATAAATTTGTTCCCCCCCCCCCCCCCCCCCCCCCCCCCCC